TCAAGAAGTTTTTGTTCTACTTAAACTGGTCTAATGGTTGCCCTCAGTCTCTCCATGTTCTGTAAGGAGTGAGGGGTCGTCACTTGCTTGTCAGGTCCATAATGTCATCTTTCCTGTTTCTGATTCTTTTTTCTCTCTAAGTGTCATTCTAAAAGGCCTCCCCCCAGGCTCCCATTTTCCAGAAGGAGACCACAAGATCCAGTACACAGTCTATGACAGAGCTGAGAATAAGGGCACTTGCAAATTTCGAGTTAAAGTAAGAGGTAAGAGTACTGCTTATTGCTTTTTTCCCCCTTCTCTTTAGAAGAGCAAAGGGAAGCAGGTCCTCAAGCCAGAACTCTCCCAAGTGCCTACTGTGATGGGAGACTTGCCAACTTTAGATTAGTCTCTAATGAGGCTCGGGGAAGTGACCTATTTTAATACCTGAATTCAGTGTTGTCAGATTCTTTAAGGAGTTCCACAGGACTAGTCTCACGGGAGCCCATAGCTGACTGTCCCAGAAGAAGATTATTCAATAATTATTTCCATCCATGAGCACAGGTGACCAGCAGAAGCCTGTGAGTCTGTCTACAACCAGAGTGGATAGGAGCCCCCTAATTTGGGCCACTAGGAGAACATGTTCTTAGTGTTCTAGAACCATTGGTATGAAGGAAAATGTTTTTAAGAACTATTTTATGCCCAATGGTTTGGGTAACTAATTGCTAACCATCTTTTACTCCTTACTTTTATTGGACTTCACTTCCTCATCTATAAGGCAAGGAACTAAACCAGTTGATATAGGTGGTCTCATTGGTATGGATGGTGACCGCTGCACAGCTCACTGACTGACCAAATAGTCATTCGTGCTCCCTCACTCATTCCACAGGCTGATCTAAAAGCCTGATGGCAAAGCTGATGCCTATGCATCCTCACCTTTTCTGCTTACTCTGTGGATGGGAGCTCAGCACTGAGACCCCTCTGGACTTGTGTCCCTACAGTCAAACGCTGTGGCAAGCTCAATGCCCCAGAGAATGGTTACATGAAGTGTTCCAGCGACGGGGATAATTATGGAGCCACCTGTGAGTTCTCCTGCATCGGTGGCTATGAGCTCCAGGGTAGCCCTGCCCGAGTATGTCAATCCAACCTGGCTTGGTCTGGCACAGAGCCCACCTGTGCAGGTATGTATGCAGCCCTCTCTCCAGCCAGCAGCAGAACTTGTAAACTCCTTGGCTCTTGATTCCAGTGCTAGAGAGGTTTCCTTTCATATACTTTGAGAAGTTCATGGCCATCCCTTTTTATCTGAGTGGGTGAACATAGTCCCTAGATCCCTGCTGCAGCTCATCTCATTTGCCATCCTTCTTGCCTCTGCCAATCCTCTAATTTCCCTTTCATGTCCTCTAAGGAAGAAGCTCAAAGTGGGAACCTAGGGCCAGCCTTTGGTGACATTATAAATCAGCAAATTCTGCTCTAGTTACTCTTGTTATAGAAATGTAAGGATCTTGTTTATAAAACCAGTACACTGCCACGTAGAGACAATATCATACCTGCTTTGCATCACTGGCATGAAAGTCACATAGACCTTGGGCATTTGGATTCTTTCCTCCTATGTAAAATGAAGAAAATAATACATCATCTACCTCTTGAGTTGTTGTAAGGATTAAATGAGGTCATCTGTGGGACAGTGGAATAGAGCAGTGCCTGGTACAGGTAAAGCCTTATGGCAGCTCTTATTCCTGATGCATAAAAATTGGGCTGGGTAAAAAGAGTCTGAAACTTGGACTAGCCAGAAAATTATGGACATATCTCTTGTTTATGGACTTCTCTTTTTCTCATTTCCTGGTACCCTTTCATCTTTATCCCTTTCTTTTAATTGAAGCTCGAATTTAGAGTTTAGTGACATATATACCATCATAAGAGAGACATATATACCATCAGCTAAATGCCTGAGATTCTTCAATTTCATATATTAAAGTAGGAAGAACATACCTATTACAGACTCCCTACCTAAGGACTTCATGCCCACCATGTTGGCATTAATGCCTGGGGTGTGGTGTCTAACAGGATCCTAGGCGTGTGTGGTCCAACATGGTAGCCACTAGCTATGTGTGGTTATTGATCACTTGAAATGAGGCTATTCTGAATTGAGATATGCTATAAGTGTAAAACATATATCAGTTTCAAAATCTTAATATGAAAAAGAATATAAAGTATCTTATTTTTTTATATTGATTACATGTTGAAATATTTTGGATACATTGGGTTAAATAAAACATAAAATCATTTCCACCTATTTCTTTATACTTTTTTTTTTTTTTTTGAGATGGATTCTTGCTCTGTCACCCAGGCTGGAATGCAGTGGTGTGATCTCGGCTTACAGCAACCTCTGCCTTCTGGGTTCAAGCAATTCTTCTGCCTCAGCCTCCCGGGTTCAAGCGATTCTCCTGCTTCAGCCTCCCAAGTAGCTGGGACTACAGGGGCGTGCCACCACACCCGGCTAATTTTTTGTCTTTTTAGTAGAGGCAGGGTTTCACCATGTTAGCCAGGATGGTTTTGATCTCCTGACCTCGTGATCCACCCACCTCAGCCTCCCAAAGTGCTGGGATTATAGACATAAGCCACCACACCTGGCCTCTTTATACTTTTTTAATGAGGCAACTAGAAAATTTAAGATTAAATATAGTGGCTTACATGGTATTTGTCTTGACCACAGCTATCTTAGCCTCTGAGCCCCTGGGGCATGGAAGAGGGCAGGAACTGTATATCACTCAGTGTGACATCACAGTACCTAGCATAGAGCTTGGTACATAGCAGGCACTCAGTATATAATGGCTGAATGAATGAATATGTGAATAAACAAATACTTCAATACAAACCTAAAGTGTGAAATATGAAAGCCAAGTTTATAAATCATACATGGAATCTCCTAGTTTTTCTCATATTATTTCTTCTCTGGGTCTAAGTCTGTTTGCTTGCCTATCTATACAACATCCTTCATTGACCTCGAATGGTAGAATTAGTTGTCATTTATTTGCTTAAAGGGAAGACCTATTATGAAAGTGCCTTGTCCCATGTCCTCTATGCCTATGCTGCTTGCTCTGTGGCCTTTGTACCCCACATTACCCTGTCCCTTCTGCACCAAGGTGGTAGACTTCAGAGATTCTGAGCCATTCCAAAGCCAGCCTGGTCATTGCCCATTCTCTCACCCTTCTGCCTCTCTGCACCCCTTTCCCCAGCAGATACTATGGTACTTGACCCATATGCCTTTCACATTCCCATCTATGTTCAAAAGGCTACTTACTGCAATTACCTGGGTCTCTCTGTCTAAGAGCTTTACTTTTCTGGCTATCAAAGCATTGTCAGCCCATGCACAGAGCCAGCTGGAAGTGATGGAGAGTTAGTGCCCCAGAAGCAGCCTCAACAATGATGGAGCAATTGTATAAATACTCCAGTTCCCTCCAGTGGGTTAATTCTGAGGTATGTGGTATATCGTCTCCTAGAGTTCCTCAGTGGGAGTTGGTTCCAAATGCCCACAGCAATAACTTGCTTGATAGCCAACTGGTATTGTTTTCTTTCCTTCACTGCCTCATTTCTTGACATAGGCAGAATAATGGTCCCCCAAAGATGTCCACATCCTAATCCCCTGAATCTGAGAATATGTTACCTTACAGGAAAAAAAAGGAACTTTACAGATGTAATTAAGTTAAGAATTTTGAGATGGGAAGAGTATCCTGGATTACCCAATGAGCCCAATGTAATCATAAGACTCCTTATATAAAGGAGGCAGAACTGCTGTCACAGTCAAAGAAAGAGATGATGGAAGGAGAGGTCAGAGAGAAGAGAGATTTGAAGATGCTACACTGCGGTCTTTGAAGATGGAGGAAAGGACTACTAGCCAAGGAATGAAGGTGGCCTCTAGATGCTGAAAAAGACAAGAAATCAGATTCTCCCCTAGAACCTCTGCAGGAACATAGCCCTGCCAATACCTTGATTTTAGCTCCATGAGACCAGGATCTTTTAGATCCTGATCTGTAGTATCTAAAAGAATAAGTTTTTATTATGTTAAGTCACTAGGTTTATGGTGAGTAATTACATCGGCAAGAGGAAATGAATATACTTCCTCACTCATCTACAAGTGCTTCTTGGGACTGCTTCCCAAATAAATTACTTACACTTCAATCCTTATCTCAGGGTTTACTTATTACACAATGGTTCTGTGTGTCATCACAGCCTCTGTTGAGCCAGAACAAATACAAGGTTTCTGACCCATGTGGCCATTTCTGATTACAGCCATGAACGTCAATGTGGGTGTCAGAACGGCAGCTGCACTTCTGGATCAGTTTTATGAGAAAAGGAGACTCCTCATTGTGTCCACACCGACAGCCCGAAACCTCCTTTACCGGCTGCAGCTAGGAATGCTGCAGGTGAGTCCTCGAGGCAGGGCCTAGGTGGGAGGGAGGCCTTTAACAGGAAGGGCCCAGCCATTTCACTAAAAGCAAAGGCCAGATTCAGTGCCTAATCCACTTACAGTGAGTTTCAGGAACTGGCACTTTAGAGCCACCATCATTTATTTATGGTTCTGGGCCATAACCATTCATTTCTGGTTCTGGGCTATAACCTGATTAACATCGACTATTTAGAGTTAACTCAATCGTTTTCCAACTAATGAGGTTTGTCAGTCTTCACCAATAAGTCTATTTGACATGCTGTCCAGGCCTAGCCTCAGAACAATTGTCTTTGCTAAACCTGTCCAGGATATGCCTGGCTGGAAGCAATCAGTTAGCTGCCTGCCCAAAAGGCTGACCCAGGAGATGAAAGGAATCCAGGAGCCCTCAAGGCCCACATTCTTCCCCAGGGAATTTCTTCAATTCTTAGAGGGTGAAAACCATTTTTTAGACAGTGGTTCTCAATGTGTGATTCATGGACCAGACCAGCAGCATCAGCATCACCTGGGAGCTTGATAGACATGCCAATTCTAGACATGCCTCCTAGGTCTACTGTGTCAGAATCTACGTTTTTAACAAACTCTCCAGATGATTTCTAAGCACTCTAAAGTTTGAGGAGCACTTTTCTGGGAAATGTGTCCTTCTCAGCTGTGTAAATTTTGTAGCTACTAAATGAGGCAACCAGCATCTGGGGTGTGTGGGGAAGGATGACTAGAAACTGTAAGGATCAAACTAGAAGTTGCTTACTTTTTTCCTAAAGCTGGTTTGCAAAAGAGTGGCCAACCTGACTGAATGCTAAACAGGCAGGATGTATGCTGTGTCATGGATATGGCACTGCACATATTTTTTTGAGAATATTTTATTCATTTATTGCAGTGGATAGAACTAAGTGCTTAGAACAGTCTTGATTTAATCAAAGGCTACAATTTACTTCTCATGTCAGCATTTATAAAATGGATAATAATAACTCTCTTTCTACTCTTCCCATGTACTTGAAGAATTGCCTATGAACTCTGAAGAGCCATATAAAATTTTTATGAGCTCCCTTGAATCAAGGAACCAAATTCATTCCATCTTTACCTCCAGTCCCCACATGCTTACCTCCCTTTGTATCTTATTGTCCCAACCAGGGGCTTGCTCTTCAGAAAACACAAGCTTATGCCTTTCTCTTTTGTCGGAAATTGACATTGCAGGCTATATTCCATGATCATGTATTTCCTCATTTGGTCTTATTCCATAGAAAAATGAATTAAGCCAAACAACTTGCTTTTCGTCTGTGTCACCATAGGTTTTACGGTGACCCATGGCTAGTTTTGGTAAATTAATTTTTATTGGACACAGCCTCACTCATTCATTTGTGTATGATCTACAACTACTTTTACACTACAGTGATCGAGTGAAGTTGTTAGGACAGAGACCATCCAACCTTGCCAAGTCTGAAATATTCTCTGGCCCTTTACAGAGAAAATTTGCCATCATTGCTCTAGTGTCCCATCCCTTCAAACACTTGCTAACTTAACAACTAGTTGGGTAAGATAGTTTATATCAAGATGTTTTATGTAGACTCTTCCCTTGAATATATTTACATTTGCATTTTAACCAGAGCCTTCAAAGGTTTGGTTGACTTAGAAATTTCAGGGAGAGTAATATAAAAGTTTATTTCTAACTTTTTAAACTTTTCAACCAGTTCTGTAACCTCATATAGGGATGTTTCAGTGGAATTTTGGTAAAACATATTTTATGTTTTCATATTTCAGGACTTCAAAATTTATTTTCTCATTTAGCCAAATT